AAACTTTGGGACTTCGGGGACTCACTCCTTCAGATCTGGTGCTCGGCGATCATCAACGTCAAATAAGGCAGGTGTTCGAGAGGAAGATCTGAGATCTACACGAGATCATACTCCGGATCAAAGCTTGGCCTTTGATCCCGAGAATTAAAGGCTACTATTTCCTTGGCGAAATAGTACCCTCGGCTATTATTTCCTTGGTGAAATAATACCCGTCGTACTGCGTAGATCCGACCGGATCTAGATCGCGCGGTGGTCCACGGATTAACCCCGGCGTTGGCAAAGAACCCACAAAAGCGAGCGACCGCAAAACAGGAGCTCGCGATTTGTTCGACACAAAAGGAGAAAGTTGTAATCTTTGTTTATTTTTCTTTGATTTTCATTGTAACCGGATCTTATAAAAAGACCGGATCTTTTGTAACCACAAAAAGTTGTTATTTTGAGATCACAATGACATCAATGAAGAAAGACACGATTTTCCCCGCGAACAATAATCTCTTTATTTTTTGGGGTCAACAACGTCCCCCACTTTGCTCCATCCTCTCGTCGCTTGACAAAATACTTATTTAGTCTATAAAATGTCCTCACAACCAACGCTTGTATGGGCATTGCTCGAGCCCCCTTAAGTACACATTGAAGCTTTTAGAACAATTAGTTGTCATCATGCAATAGCGATTCCCTCCATCTTTACTTAGTGCCCACCGGTCGACGTAATCGCTTCCCAAACTACTCTCAATCCAATCATGTGCAGCTGGAGATGTTGCCTTGATTTGATCCCGTATCCGATCATACACATACGTTTCGGGTGTAATACCCGCTTGCCAAAGAAGGTTTTATAGATGTACTTGACCAAAGCTCTTTTTTAAATTAGCTCTAATGTGTCGTAAGCAATAGTGGTGATTGTGATCAGAGCCAAATCACCTGTACAATGCTCTTGGAATACCTTTCATCCTATCGGATATAAAAGTAATTTTTCTAGGAGGCAACATATTAAAAATATATAATTGGATGCAAGAAAAAAACCACTCCTAATTTTCACTGTTCTCAACCTCTAAAACTGCGAAGGCCAAAGGAAATAAGCCCCCATATGCATCTACTCCTGTAGCGACAAGCAATACACCCTTATATTTACCGTATAAGTGTGTCCCATCAATGCTAAGGATCGGCCGACAAAATTTAAATCCCTCCATCGAAGGACCAAATACCCAAAATACAGAGGTGAATTTATGAACTCCCGGATTGACCTCTTTGGTTATGAGTTTGTATTCAGATCCAGGATTACTTCTTTTGATCGCATTAAGATATTGAGGCAGAGTCACGTAAGACTTCTCCCAATCACCAAATATTTTTGTCATCGCAATTCTCCTTGCATTCCATGCTTTGATATACGATATTTTAATCCACTTATCATGTGACACTCTCTCAATTATGTCATCGGGCTTTAGTTCAAGCTTCTTTTTTAATCTTGGCATAATCAACCGAGCTATGTAAGAGGAGGAGGCACCACTGTGGTCTCTCTCGAATATTGGATTGTTACACGTGTGAACACCGCAATATTTTGTGATCCTAAAATACCCATTATGTTTCTTTCCGGCAAATGCATATAACTTCCAAGGACATGCGTAATCAGATTCATTCCCCTCTGCCCGACCTTGCCTTTGTGTATTCATAAAATAGATTGCCTCATAACTTGTACGATTGCTTTTAATTTGCTTGAATTTGACCAACTTTTTGATTGAGTAATCACGAATAGCATCAACCAATTGGTCTTTAGTCTCAAATAATTCACCAACTCTGAAAGGGACCTCCTCATCATCTCCTCTATTGGATGAACTTTCGCCAATGCGGATATCATGTACTGTGGAAGAACGAACCCACTCATCATCCTTAAACTGGGGGGGGGGTTCTTCATGCTCAACATTTTTTATTATTAACATAAGCTTCATCTGGCCAATCCAGATTCTCTTCATCATCTTCACTCACAAATTGCATGCTATCAAGTGGTGCATTATCTTCATCTTCACCATCAGAGACGTCGCTTCTTTCATCCTCTTCATATGAAGGTGCACCACCCTTATATTGAAATTGAGTCCGTTGTATTTCACTCGAAGAAGAAAGAAAGCTTTCAGACTCAACTCCCAAATCTAACATGCGTGAGAATTCTTCTAGAGGGTTGAATATTCGGCCCGTACTATGTGGCACCGTTTCAATAAACAATTCTACCGTTGGTTGTGACTTGCTCAAATTAAACAAAATACTCATCAAATGATCGTTTGAGATCTCAACTGCGGACGTTCTATCATAAGTTATCGGCCAATTGCATATTATTTTTAGCCGGCAATCTCGTGGGTCAATTGTCGTAACTCCATGCAATTCATTAACCAAGTCAAGGTAACTGCATGATTCCGATATCATTAACGGGATTGTCATCCCTCCGACGTACATTGGCATTTTATTCATTCCATACTTAATCGTTCCACCATAAGAGCAAGCAATAAAAATCATAATGTTCAACCTATGCAAATCAAAATTATATTATTTAAATACAAAAAATTTAAAAAATATTATCTATTAATACCCTAAAACCTAATTACAACCCTAAAACCCAATTATAACCGTAAAGCCCCAAATCCTAAACCCTAAAATTGACCCTCAAATTCTAAACCCTAAAATTAAGTATTCTATGCCCCCAAATGTTTAATTTCAACTACAACAAAAATAAAATTTCTAAATAAACCATTGCAAATAGAGTTCAAACACTATAAATTCGTTTTGGAGAGAAAACCCTAGATTTCTTCGTGTCAAAAGATGAGAGAAGGGAGAGAAAGTACCTGTTAAATCTTTCACGCTAAAATTCCTCACAAAACTTGAGGTTGAAAGCTGCGATCCGTGGCTCAAAGAGAGTTTGTGAGGAGGAGAACGACGAAAATAAGAGAGAGAGGCGACTGGAACCGAACAGGAGTGAGAAGAGTGAAGTTGTGACCTTTATATAGGTCGCGGGCCCAGTGAACAAATAGTCGGGGTTGTGAACCCTGACTATTGTCGCTTAGCCGTTTTCACCGCTCGGCGACTGGGCCAGAGGTCTCTGCCATATAGTCGGGTTTGGGAACCCCGACCATTTCGAAATGAGCTTTACAAATGGTCGGGGTTGCCAACCCCGACCAATTAGAGAGGGGCCTAAATTAGTCGGGGTTGGAAACCCCGACTATTTTAGCTTGTCCATAGCTAAATAGTCGGGGTTGCCAACCCCGACATAACTAAATAGTCGGGGTTGCCAACCCCGACTATTTAGCGGCGTCATTTAAAAAAACTGACCCATTTCGTGGCCACGCTGCTGATGTGACACGAAATGGATCGGTTTTGCTAATAAAAACTTGAATGAGTCGAATTTTATAATAAAAAAATTAAATGGGTTTAATTCAAAAATTTGTTCTTTTATCAATACATCAATAATTATTATTTCTAAGCATCTGTTATATTGACAATTTTGGATCATCAGCTGCTTCTACTTTATCTAAATGACTGATGTTCTTTCACCTAGATAGTTGATGTTAACGAGGAGAGGTATAAACTTTGATGATAAAGAGATCTGAATAAGATTATTGTTATGTTTATAGAAGTCTTAAAATCTCTGTCATTGTGACACGATTTTAAGATTTTGCCGATAGTTGTGGAATTCAGTTTCATATTTTATGATATATAAGGCGCCAACTTGTATTGCTAATATTATTATGCAAATATTTTACGAAATGCATGGAAATAGTTAATTTTTAGTTCTTTCAGCTTCAATGTCAAGATCATTATTGATTTGGGTGGACTGTGCAAGATTTGTTATATATGTGGTACAATTGTAGCTTGCCAACTAAAAGCATTGTAGCGACATTGCTTTTTTTTTAAATGATTAAGGCCAATAATGTGGATACGATATTTGATTTGGTTTGGTTAAGATATGATTGAAATAAAATATTTTTTTATAAAAAATTATTGGAATTCGTAGATATTACCAAACTGAATTAATCAAGCATTGTCTATATAACATCACTCTATAGTCTAGAGATTATTTGTCCTTCTATAAAAACATTATATTTCCACGAGGTGAATATATTAATTGATAGACATCATCTTCACAATTATTGATAAGATTTTTCTTGGTTCAACAAGATTGCCATATTAATATAAACATCATCTCCACAATTATTTATATGATTTTTCTTGGTTCAACAAGATTGCCAAGTTGCCCGTTCAATTCGAGGCTGTATTCAGTAGTTCTTATCCTACACGTGTCGGAGCCACACATATTTGTGCTTAGACCATGAAAACAATGACGTATCATCGTGCACTATTATAATTTTCAAAGAAGTCACTCGTTCTAGAATTACTTTCACTCAAACATGTTTAACTATAGAATTATTTGGCCAATTCAAAATCGGAAGTGTTTAATCATTATTGCACTTAAATTTCAAGATTTACTATTTAAATCCTTAAATTTCAAGACTTACTAGTAACCTCATAAGTGAGGCTCTATCAACCAAAGTAAGCATGCAGCAGACCGCAACCTACTCAAGGTGGCATATACGTAGGGGTGAGCACGGTTCGGTTCGGGTCGGTTTTCACCAAAATTTGAACAACCGAACCGAACCATCTACAATTCAAAACCGAACCGAACCATTACAAATCGGTTCGGTGCGGTTCGGTTCGGTTTGTTCGGTTCTAACTTCATCAAGTATAACTTCACTTTAATTTATTTTTTATATATTATTATTACCCTATGCCAGCATGTATTTGTTTTTTAACTTCACTTCAATTTATTATTCTTGCTCATGTATGTATACTGTTTTTAAGTGAAGTAACTTGTCCTTTTGGATTAAATACTAGAATCTGACGTTGTAATTTTTTAGTAACGGACTTGCTTTGTCTTTGTGTAGCAAGCTTTGACTTTGGTCTTTGTGGAGGCAAAAAAAAAGAGCTGACTCATTAGAACATTGGTTATGTATGAATCAATTCCATGCAACTGCTATTCATGGTGATCGAAGACAGCAATAAACCCACAAATCAAAGGCACAAATATATTCGGTTGGTCCGGTTCGGGTCGGTTTGAAAAATTGTCAACCCGACCCGAACCGCCTTACTCATAAAACCGTTTTTTCCGGATCGGTTCGGTCGGTTTTTTCGGTTTGAACCGAACCGTGCTCACCCCTACATATACGTTCAACCGATACATAACTAGTCGATGGATACAAACTAGGTAGGTTATCACTAGTAAAAAACAGAGCATTGGTGGCGGGAAAATCCGTCGCCAATGCAGTTAAATCCGTCACGAATGCACATTCGTGACGCCCAATTATCCTTCATCAATGCGTATGCCAATACGTTCCCAAGACTGCAACCGAGTTGATAGGATCGCATACATAACTAGTCGAACTCAGCCTAGCCCCACAAGCTGGTTGGATGGAAAAGCTTCCTATCACTCCCCGAAAGAATCATGCCTTCGAGAGGCCGGTAGGATACATATGATCTGTGACACTGAGAAACCATGCATGATGGCAAGATCAGTAGTTTTTCTTTGTGACAAGTGAGCCCACAATCTTATTTATAGGCCAAAGAAAGTCAAAGGGACACATTGGTTGATGGGCTAGTATGTCGACTGCTTTATGAAGTCGTGGAGATCAAGATCAATGCCAGTTAGGAAAGAAGCAAAGTCAGATGAACGATGACCAGAGGGGGGAAATGTGAAATATCAAATCCTTGTCGAGCATATGGCACCTCAGGGGAAATTTTCAATGAAGTCGAAGAAACTTGCGACGATTATCAATTAAGGAGTAGCATCGTATCTTCATGACGTCCAGAATCTCAACAGTATGCCTGATAAATCTATATCTATAATTAATGTGATTAGACGAGACATGGCTGATGAGTACCAGCGCAAATCTTATCTACTCTTGATCAAGATTTTTTCTCAGTTCGCCCACTGTTATGCATACAAACGGGAGTTTACATTTGGGCTAATCAGAACATATCATGACAACAAGTCGACTTGGTCAATCAGGCATGCACTTGCTAAACCGCGGGGCATTTGCACGCAGTATACAATCTGCACACAGCCCAATGGACCTAACCTAAAAGCTTGGATAGGGCAGTAAATATCTGCACACGGCCCAATGGACCTAACCTAAAAGCTTGGATAGGGTAGTAAATATCTGCACACGGCCCATGGACACGGCCCATGCACCTAACCTAAAAGCTTGGATAGGGCAGTAAGTATCTGCACACGGTCCATTGACCTAACCTAAAAGCTTGGATAGGGCGGTAAATGTCCATAATAGCGAAACTCATTAGTTTTGTTGTAATGCCTACACTATAATGCGGTCTAGTTTTATGGCAATCTGTCTAGTTGGAGATAATTGACTCGGGTTATATCATATCCTTAATATACCATGTGAGTAGACATTGATCGAATACTCAATCTCTCTAATTTTCAAATTTCATAACTTACCGTGTCTACACATATGCCGGTTGTACCATCCTTTGCCAATGAGGTACTACTACATGGATTTACTTGCATGCCAAATAACTACCATCACAACCTCGACCATCAAGATAGTGACACGTATAGAGGCTAGTCTTCTCTAAGCAATCAATATAAATATCCCTCCTTGACCTCATATAATTACACGACACGGTACCGCTAACCTTCAATCTATGATCTTTCTCCTCTAGAATGGTTAATTTGCAAATAGGAATGATTCGAGGGGTATATACTAACCTCAAGGTTTAATTTTGCCAGTTATAGGAGAAACCATTATAGAGGTTAATGGCAAATATTCAAACATTTTAGCGGTATTTTTATAATTGCAAATATTTTGGGGGTTCAACACTACCCAAAGTATGAGAGGTTTATTAAAATACCCACTCCACCACTCCCCCCCCCCCCTTCTTTGGCCTTTTATTTGATGATGTTTTAACAAACAATTTA